CAGGGACGGGAACAGGGGTGACACCGGGGCTGTGCCGGCACGGGGACGTGGGGACACCGGCATGGAGATAGGGACGAGAACAGGAGTGAAACCGGGGGGGCACTGGTGTGGGGACAGCGGGGACACCGGGATGGAGACAGGGATGGGAACAGGGATGGAAACAGGGATCCGCTGTTCTGGGACACTGGAGCTGCGCCGCACGGGGACAGCGGGGCAGCACTGGGATGGGGGGACACCGAGATGGGGACAGTGGGGACACCGGGGTGACACCAGCATGGGGACAGTGGGGACACCAGGGCGACACCGGCATGGGGACGGAGGGAGATGGGAATGGGGACACCGTGGCAGCACTGGCATAGAGACAGTAGGGGCGCTGGAATGGGTGACACCAGGCAGACAGCGGGATTGGGAGAAAGATGGCAACTGGGCCCCACCAGGATGGGGAAAGAGGTGACACCGGGATGAGGAGTGACAACAGGTCCGGCGCTGGAATGGAATGAGGGGCAGGAGGTGACAGCAGGCCAGCACCGGGTTGGGACACAGGGTTGATACCAGGTCTGGCACTGGGATGGAGGATGATGTGGGTGGATTACAGGGTAGGGGTGACATCAAGGCCAGCACCAGGATGGGGCAAGGGCAGATGACAGCAGGTCTGTCCCCCAGCCCCAGGCATACCCGGCATCACCCACACAAACAGCCACACCACAGGGCAGGRTTCAGCACTTTTATGGGCCCAGGTCCTCACAGGGCACGAGGAGCCGTTTGGGGTACAGAATGGGGTACAACTTCTAGGGACAGCAGTCCTTTAAAGGGGGGTTCCTTGGACGGAGTGAGCTGAAAAAGAGACAGGGTGGGAGTTTGGGAATTTGTTCTGTGTCAGGTCTGGATGTTGGGCTGGGCTTTGAACTAGATTTGGGATATTGTGATCTGCTTTTTGAGGGTCTAGGATGTTGGGYTCTGTTGTGGGTCAGGTTTGGACAGTGGTATCTGCTTTGTAGTGATTTTAGGACGTTGGGACCTGCTTAGTGTCAGATTTGGGACAGTGGAATCTGCGCCGCATCGAATTCAGGACATTGGGATCTGCYTTGTGCTGGAGCTCTGTGTCAGTGATGTGTGTCAGTCCCAGGTGGGGACAGGAGCCATCCCCAGGTTCAGCAGTCCCAAACACAGCAGGGCAGCGCCCAGASGCTCAGCATCAGTCTGTCTGTCCCTCACAACTCGGCGTGGTACTGCTCCGTTTGGAAGGCCTCGCTGGGCTGCATGAAGATGCCCTCCATCACCTTCCAGTAGTTATTCTGGCTGGAGGAGGCCATGCCGTGCACCTCCTTCTGCCCGTGGATGGGCCGCCCRTACTGCTCCCCGGTCACCGAGAGGAACACGTCGGTGGAGGTGTGCTGGAAGCGCACCTCATCGTCCCGCACCCAGTAGGTCCCGCTGCAAACCACTGTCCAGTCGTCCAGGTAGTCGCCCTCGCCGGCCTCCCCGAATGCACTCACCTCCTGGGGATGAAGAAGAACTTGTTTTGGGGGCCGGGATGAAAAAAGGGGAGGGTTGAGGTGGGCAGAGAAAGGGGMTGGGTCTAGGGAGGAGGAGGGACCTCCTCATTGTGACTGAGGATCTGTTGGGATTTGGAGGGTCTGATTGGGAGTTGGGCACTGGTGGGGCATGGGGAGTTGGTAGGGACTGGGAACAAAGTGTGACTGGCAGGGACCCAGCTGGGATCAGGGAACAAGGCAGTGCTGGTGGGAACACGGGGGACAAGAAGAACCCGGTCTGAGCTGGGGAACAAAGTGGGACCTGTGGGGACGTGGGGGACACACCTGAGGCAAGGAAAGTGTTGGCAGAGATATGGGGGACCTAGCTGGGAGTGGTAGGGACAGGGAGAACCCAGGAGGGACTGAGAAATAAGACGGGGCTGGCAATGACAAGGGGGGACCGAGGTGCGACTGGTAGGGGCAGGGAGAACCCGCCAGGAGCTCAGGGGACACACCAAGGCCCGAATGACACGGCGGGCCCGGTCGCGCCCAGGGAAAGATGCCGATCCCGAGGAGCAGCGGTGGCGATCCCCRGGCGGTACCTGGTTGCCGGAGAGCGGCGAGGTGAAGCGGTGGCTGTGCAGGTTGCGGCCGGTGCCCAGGTGCGTGAGGCGGATGGCCTGTCCGCAGCGCACCGGCGTGCCCCGCTGGCACACGGCGGCCGTGCGGGCCCGCACCCGCCAGTAGCTGTTCCCGTCATCCGCCGCCGACACCCCGGTCACCGACTGCTGCCCGCTGCCTGCGGAGGAGGGAGAACCACCATCACACCCGGCTCAGCCCACCGCGGGAGCCGGGGGAAAGCGCGGAGGGGATGGAGGAGGGGGGGTGCGCGTCCCGTTACCGGAGCCGTAGCGCACATCGTGCGAGTGSAGCCGCACGTTGTGCCGCACATTGAGCAGCTTCACCACCGARCCGCAGGTGACGGGCCCGGGCCCGCCGCGCCCCGCCGCGCCCAGCGCCGCCACCAGCAGCGGCAGGAGCAGCCGGAGCAGCAGCGGCGGCCGCCGCGCCGCCTCCATCCCGCAGGAAGCGGAAGCGCGGCCGCTCCGCCCGCCGGGAGGTCTCGGCTCGCCCGCTCCGCCCCCCGCGCTCGCCGCCGCCGCCGCCGCCTCCATTTTCCCTCGGCCCCTCGGGTAAGGCCGCGCCGGGCCCGGCCGGGCGGCGGTGAACGCGGGTCCCTTACCGGGGGAAGGGCGCGTTCGCTGTTCGCGTTCGTCCCGGCCCGGGCGTCACACCCGGCTCGGCGTCGCGGCGGCTCCGAGCCCCGGCGAGGGCGGTGAAGGCGGCGGGGACGTGCCCGAGGTTGGTGTCGGGCTGCGCCGCGGGCCCCGGTGCGGGGGTGAAGCGGCGGCGGCCGCCTYGGTGCGGCCCCGGTGGTGGCCGTGGGTGGGGCTGGCGGCGGCAGGGGCCTCCCGGGGCGGCGGCGGCGGGCAGGGCCCGGGGGAAGCGAGGCGGTGGCCGGGGTTGGGGGCGGCTCCCCCGGGCCGGGTGGTGCCGCAGCCGCCGCGGCAGCGGGGCCCGGACTGCGGGGTAGCGCTGCACGGTGGAAAGAGCTGTGGGTGTGAGGTGATGGCGTGGGGAGGGAGCATCGGGATGCTTTTTTTGGAGTGGGGGAAAGGGCCTGACCTTSGTTTCTCGCCGCACTGGGGGTCCTGGACCCCCCCACACTGCGGGTGTGATTCCTGTGTCACTGATGTGATTCCCAGAACACCGCATTAAGCTTTCCAAACTCCTGGCAAGGCCCTCCCTGAAAAGCCAAGGGCCTGGGAAAGCCCTTTGGGGTTTAATAAACGACTAAAAGGTGGCAAACGATTGGCGTTGGTGGTGGAGTGAGGTTATTGTGGAGTTGTCTCAGCGGCTGTTTTCTTTTCCTGAATATGGTTATGTGGAAAAGGAAGGCTTATTCGTAAATTATTTAGGATAACTGAACTGGGGGGAGTTGCAGAGACCAGATAACACTGGGTGGGAGTGCTGGTGTGGTAAATGAGATAYGGCAGAAGGTGTAAGGAAGGTGACAAATACCACCAAATTGATTCTCCATCAGCTCTTGTTTTTCAGGGAGGAGCAGTAGGTGTCTCAGCAATTGTTTCTTTTAAACAACTTTGATGCCTCATTGTAACCTAAAAGGGATATTTTGAAATTACTTTGAAGGAGCAGAGAATGAAATAGAAAATGCTGCTGAGTAAATGGTTGGCAGTTTGTGCCCTGGCAATTCTGGTTAGACCATCCCAAAATGAGAGCGCTGGAAAATGAAGGGGCAAGAGCAGACGAGGTTTTTGAGCAAACAGAGCCCTCATGTCCTCACCTTAGGGGAGAAGCTTGCTGACAGGAGATACAATCCAGCTGCTCGAAATCACAGGCAGGTCAGAGAAAGCCAGGAGGGAGCATCAGTTTTCTGTTTCTGAGAGGAAATCATGATGCAGCAGGGCTAAAATAAACAAGCGGAAGTGTTTTCTCACGCAACGTGCTATTAAATGTGTCACCCTGCCACAGGACGTGCTGCCACCTGATAGCATCGGGGGTGGTGGGACCGATGGGAGCATTAAAACCAACAAAGCAGGTATGGGAAGTTCCTGAGCTGTGGTGGCTGCCTGGACTTTCCTCGTGTCAGTCCCCCAGCTGTCACTTCCCCCTGTGTTCCTCCCACCGAGCTGGGTGGGAGGGTCTGGTTTAGATGCAGGCTTCAGAAATCTGTAAAATGGCTAKAAAAGCTAAATATAAAATGATTTATTGCTGATGTCAGGGCTGGCRGGCCCCAGTGGCCATCAGCCCTGCAGAAGTCCATGTGGATACTGAGGAATTCCTCTGAGGAAGAGCTCAGCATCGTGGAGGTGCCCGTGAGGGTAATTTCTCATGGTGTGAATGCCTTGAAGTGCTTCACAGGGCTGTTTTTGTTAGGCTCATAAGGTTCGAATTAAAAGATGCCAAGATGATTTTGTCTGAATTCTGTGGTGGAACACAGCCTGAAGATCATTGCTTACTTATTATTGTTAAATTCACGCATTGCATCTCAACCATGGCTTGCTTTTTTTTTTTCTTTTTTTTTTTTTTTTTTTTTTTTTTTTTTTTTTTTTTTTTTTTTTTTTTTTTTTTTTTTTTTTTTTTTTTTTTTTTTTTTTTTTTTTTTTTTTTTTTTTTTTTTTT